CTCCTCACACCCCCCACACAATATACAAGATTAAGACTTTGTTTTGAGCTATTATGCAATTGCCTGTACATACACTACACAAACACACATAAATGAGGACAAAAATATTTTTTTAAATAAAATTAAAATATGTTATAATAAATGTTTGATTTTTAACGTATGATTTGGGTTTTTTTGGTTCCAAGATGGCAGCACCCCTCCTGCCAAAACGAGTACTTGCAGGCAAGGGGGGGACTTCTAGTGGCAAAGGTTAGGGATTAGGGGGTGGGCCTTCTCGTTGCAAGGGGGCAAGGCACCTGTCAAGAGGTGGAGCTTCTTTGTGGCCTTCAACAGGTCATCAAAACTCCTTAAATGGGCCTCCAGTCAAAATAATTGCCCACCCCTGCTCTAAGACATCTCTGACTAAAGGCTCTGGTAGAGCTATGAGTCAATCACATAAGCCTGTAGAAGAGGGAGACAGGATTACTGCTTCTTTCAGAAGTGAAGATAAGAGAGTGAATTTATATCTATCATCATGTGTATTTAGATATAAATGGGCTTCCTAGCCTGAAATAATTACCAGTGGAGCCCCAAAAGAGCGTATTTCCAGACTTCCAGCAATATCTCAGGGACCTACACTAATTACCACCAGTATCAAATCTGTAGTATCAACATCTCTTGGCACCACTATTCTTGGCTCTGCTTACCTTGGCAATTGCCACTCTTTCACTGGCAGCTCTAGTCTGACTTTTTGCATAACACAAACTTTGGGATTTCTGTGGATTAATTCCTGTTTGAACTACAGCCCAACTTTTAGAAAAGTAATCTTAATTTAAAGCTTGCCTCTACCACAATATTTGCTGCATTTATCAGGAGCCTGATGTGCCTTTTTCTGTGCTGCTCCATTCAGTCGCTTGAGTGTCATGTTGATGGAATGGACTTTCCTCCCCTGTTCAAGATGTTTCTCCAGGATGCGCTCTTCTCTTTAAGGGGGTGACTATGTTATCATTTGATATTGGTGGCCCTCTTAAAATCTGTCCTAAGTGCATCCATTGCTGTCTTGGCATCTTTTGATGCTTTAGGTTGTTTTGCTCTACTTGGATTTCTCATTTTGTAACAAACTCTGTCCTAAAGACTGAGGGTCTTCTGCTGGCATCTGATTTCAAATGTGTTGATTTTCTTATCAATAACTTATGTGGATGTCCAAAGTTGCTTCATAAAGGAGGAAAGAAATGATGCTATTGTTGAAAATACCGTATTTTTTGCATCTACTGAATATGATATTTTTCAGATCTTATCAAGTTTATGAAAGCTGCTTGTTGCTTTTGATATTATCAGATGTGAATTACCCTTACTGATAAAATTAGCAGCTTGTTTTGAGTGTAAATTTGTCTGGCTTCAACTTCCAGCCTTTGGAAACTTTGTATCTTTATCTGCTAGATGGAAGAGTTATCTGTTCTTAATTTATATTTTCCCTACAGGTTCTTATAGACTATGATCAAGTCATTCCTGGGGCTTCTCTTTGATAAACTAAATAAATTAAGCTTCTTGAGTTTCTCACTATACAAAGCAGGTTTTCCAGTCTTTAAATC